ACCTGTTTGGATCTCATTATGAAAAGGAACAGTTACTTTCATCATTATTGCTCGTTTCATGACATATTTTTGAACCTTCCTGAAAAAGCACTAGAATAAGGAATTTAACCGATAACCTCTTTTTTGTAAAACCAGTGAACAAACCATTACACCACGGCAGCTCTCATGAAGATACTGTGAATTAAATGGTGATTGTCTACATACCAAAGCAAATATACAATTGTATCAACGATATATTGAATAGTTAGTCACGCCTTTCCCTTAAACGTCATTATTGTTCTTTTGACTTGAATATAAAATGTGCTGATTGTGTTATTTCAACAGTTGCATGTACTTTGTTACCACATCATGTTCCACTTCGTGTGTCTCATTTTCCCAAGGCACCCAGTCATCCATGTGCTCTTTGATTTCTTTAAACTCTTCCAAGCCTTGGTTCTCTTTGTCCACTTCCCAAACATCTTCCACATGCGACTGGGAAAGTAAATGTAAATAGTCATTCGTACACTAACATGAAAGCAATTAAAGTAAAGATTTTAATGTGTATAGCTTTAGATGTTGTGCATACAGGCGACGAGTATTTAGTGATCAAATTTCAGTACTTAAATGGATGTATAGTTGAAATTCATTTAATAAATGAAAAACTCCTGTATCACTTACGTCTGAGTCTGTTGTGGAGAAATTAGAGCTCTGGGAGTCTATGTCCATGTTTGAATCATCTGCATTGCATGTTTCTGCACACTGTCCATGAAGAAAATAATTGCAACTGTCTTGGTCCGGACCTATCAGAGTCTCACATGTATCGCAAGGCGCCTGTGTGTGTTCCCGGTCAGTACACCGCATCTGCTTTTCGAAGAACCCACCAGGAATCATCTCTGCGGCTTGCAAGATAGTATCTGTCTGGTACCCTTGGTTTTTTCTGTCCTGTGATGTTTCTCTTTTAAAATCCTCATCTTCTGTCACATCTCCGCAATGCCTGGCCACCTGACACAGTCCGCTGTCACCTTCTGCTGCCTCACACACCTCGTCTTGCTCACTGATGTTCTGTTTTTTATCCTGACCTGTTTGGATCTCATCATGATAAGGAACAGAGTTACTTTCATCATTATTGCTCGTTTCATGGCATATTTTTAAATCTTCCTGAAAAAGCTGATTGTAATATTGCGTTTTAATTTCTATATCTTTACGAGTCACTTTTGGTGAACGAGTGATAAGAATTGATTGTTTTTTGAGGTGACGCTCAGAATACATCTGTCCAGCCCCTTTATGAACTATACGCACTGGTTTGCTCTTTTGCATTTCCCCCGGTTGGCTTTTCATCAGATTACTCACATCGGCATTCACGTCCATAGTATGCAAACCTGCATCCATTTGCATTCTGCAGTTGTGGAACTTTCTTGTGAATTTACCATTTTCAAAGTTTGCAGTCCCTATTTTTTCATTTTCGGAGGAAACTTCGTCATGATTCCTCATGGCCCTTTTAACTCTTGTTGCAAGATCTATCACTGGGACATTATTTTCATCTTTCTCGAAACTGAACGGTGTATTCATGGCCGTGTTTGTACAGGTCGAGGTGGCCAGTGACTTTTTACCACACTCTTTCTCGTCCAGCTCCAGGAAAGCCTGTTCCACCGCCGGTGAGGTGTTCTTGATTGTTGATCTTTATGATTATGTACAGAAAAAGAGAAAACTCTCATTGTAGAAAAACAAGTTGAATTGTAAATGTGATTGAAATGTATATTTTAAATCTTGACTTGAAGCTTTCGTTACTGCAGCAATTCATATTCTTTGGGTCTTTCGGTAAATTCACGTAGATCGGTTAAAAGGAAATAACAAAACACTACGTTTTGACCGCAACAAGACGACCGCTTGCGTTGAAACGTCGTGGTTTTTTGTTATTTTCTTTGAACCAATCTACGCGACTTTACCGAAAGACCCAAAGAATATGCATATTTTAAAACAAGTGTTTTATGGGAATTTGCAGTGTTAGCTTTGCCACCTTTTCTAATGCAGACCAAACCCAGACACAACTTTCAGTTAGCCTCGGTCTTAGTAAACTGTAATAAAGTGCAACACACAAGACCGGAACTCGATCTCAGTACAACTCAATTATTTCTTCCCACCTGGACACGAGAGCCAATTCGCGGACCCCACGCAGCCGCCACGAGCTCACCCACCGGCGGGGTTCGCGTGAGCCGGAGGAGCCGGAGCCGGAGGGGCAGGAGGAGGAGGAGGAGAGGGCCGCCGCCGCCGCCGCCTCTCGGGCGCGCCAAGCCAGGCGGAGGCGAGCTCGCAGCTGGGGTCTTCTCAGGAACGGGAGCCATCTCCGGAGGCGGCTCAGCTCCTTCCCCTCGAACTCGCGGAAGGCGGCGCTCTGCATTCTGCCAGCAGCGTGAGGAGGGCAGTCTTAGTAACACCAACCAACACCAACTAACACCACCTAACACCACCTAACACCAACCAACACCAACTAACACCAACTAACACCACCTAACACCACCTAACACCAACTAACACCACCTAACACCAACCAACACCAACCAACACCAACCAACACCAACTAACACCACCTAACACCAACCAACACCAACCAACACCAACTAACACCAACTAACACCACCTAATACCAACCAACACCAACTAACACCACCTAACACCAACCAACACCAACCAACACCAACTAACACCAACTAACACCACCTAACACCAACCAACACCAACCAACACCAACTAACACCAACTAACACCACCTAACACCAACCAACACCAACTAACACCAACTAACACCACCTAACACCAACCAACACCAACCAACACCAACCAACACCAACTAACACCACCTAACACCAACCAACACCAACCAACACCAACTAACACCAACTAACACCACCTAACACCAACCAACACCAACTAACACCACCTAACACCACCTAACACCAACCAACACCAACCAACACCAACTAACACCAACTAACACCACCTAACACCAACCAACACCACCTAACACCAACCAACACCAACTAACACCACCTAACACCACCTAACACCAACCAACACCACCTAACACCACCTAACACCAACCAACACCAACCAACACCAACTAACACCACCTAATACCAACCAACACCAACTAACACCACCTAACACCAACCAACACCACCTAACACCAACCAACACCAACTAACACCACCTAACACCACCTAACACCAACTAACACCAACCAACACCAACTAACACCAACTAACACCAACCAACACCAACCAACACCAACTAACACCACCTAACACCAACCAACACCAACTAACACCACCCAACACCACCTAACACCAACCAACACCAACTAACACCAACCAACACCACCCAACACCAACCAACACCACCTAACACCAACCAACACCAACTAACACCACCCAACACCAACACCAACTAACACCACCTAACACCAACCAACACCAACCAACACCAACCAACACCACCTAACACCAACCAACACCAACTAACACCACCTAACACCAACCAACACCACCTAACACCACCTAACACCAACCAACACCAACTAACACCACCTAACACCAACCAACACCAACTAACACCACCTAACACCAACCAACACCACCCAACACCACCTAACACCAACCAACACCAACTAACACCAACCAACACCAACCAACACCACCTAACACCAACTAACACCAACCAACACCAACCAACACCACCTAACACCAACCAACACCACCTAACACCACCTAACACCAACTAACACCACCACGACCACACGACGCGTTGGCTGGGCAGCGATCCACAGAACATCCTTCCTGCAATGGCGGTCTCAATAGGAGTTAAATGAACACTTGGAGTTTGTATGTTCTCTACCCCTGTTCTGCGTGGGTTTCCTCACACAGCGAAACACACACACACATATACAATGTGCTGGCACACATACCTAGATTACTCAATTGGGATAACACATAGGATCAATGTCGCCCCTCGTGCGACCACTTGGCAGGATCCTCCTGAGGAAGAGTTCTCCTCAAGTTTTCCCGCGGAAACAAGCGAAGTGATGATAAAGACAAGCGAAGTGATGATAAAGACAAGCGAAGTGATGATAAAGACAAGCTAAGTGATGATAAAGACAAGCGAAGTGATGATAAAGACAAGCGAAGTGATGATAAAGACAAGCGAAGTGATGATAAAGACAAGCTAAGTGATGATAAAGACAAGCGAAGTGATGATAAAGACAAGCGAAGTGATGATAAAGACAAGCTAAGTGACGATAAAGACGAGCCCGTCACACACAGAAGGCGACCGCGTGCAGTGCCGCAGCGCCCCGTGTGTCTGCAGGGCCGCGTATTTATACTAGAGGGGGGGGGGGGGCTAGAGCGAGTAAATCTAAACACAAGAACCCTCCCGGCATTACGGACATTGGTCGCGAAAGTCTTCGTGTCCCCCCCGTGTCCCCATCACAAGGACCGACACCGACACGAGAACCCAACGCGGCGCTCTGCGGCCTCCCCCAGCCCCGCGGCGACTCCGCGGGTCGCGCGGGCTGCGTCAACTTCAAACTCCGCACGCTCGTCAACGCCGCTTGCCGCTTAACGGGGTTTCGTACTAATTGTACAATGCGGTTTATCACCAAGTCGTTTTAACACAATTCTCTGAAACCACAATAATTGTTAATTGCGCTTCACGGAGACGCGAGCTCGTTACCCCTGAGACGCCACGCGGGGTCCACGTGACGTGTGCCCCACGTGACGTGCCACGTGACGTGGGCACACGTGGGACAGCGGCGATGAGGTTTAGAGGGACCTCTCAAGTGCCGCACCACGGGGACCTTGACCACGGGGACCTCGCGGCGTGGCCCACGGGGAGGTCAGTGTTGACCACGGGGACCTGACCCCCACCTCGCTGCGAACGTGAATCTCGCCAAGGCCCAGCACGTTGTGTGCGTGCGGTCGCAGAGAAGAAAGGCGCTCAGGGGACGCGAAATAAACGTGACACGGCCATCGTTGACCACATGACATTTAATGCAGCATTAAATAGTGTAAGCGATATTTACACACACAAGTGTGGCGGCCACACCGCCCAACAAGGTTGACATGCCGGCATGTGCTGGCCAGTGGGTAAACCTGCCCATGGCGTCAGGGCACTTGCACATGCACGATCAGCACTCCACTAATGGCTTGCATAAGGGTATCAAACAAAATGTTACTACGTCGCATGAGCACTCTTAAGTACTACGGTTCGACAAACCAGGGAAATCGCCAATGCCGACAGGTGGAGTTCACCGAGATGTCACTTCCACGCAGGTCAGATCCAGACCTGTTCCGCTCCCGGCCTCCACCACCCTCAGCATTGTGAACGTTCATCATCAACACGTGACTTTTTAAAACATCATTTGACAGTAAATTAACATGGGGCATGCATAACATACAAAACTATTAAAATATACCTCTGCAGGATATACAGTTGCTTATGCTATAGTTGCCGAGACAACAAGAACTAGCTTTACTCAGTAGCATAGGAATTCCCTTTCGTCAGTTTACATAAGAGCAAAAGTGTCCAATGAACCTTCACGGGTTTACACGGGACAGTCAGGCCCGTGTTGCTCAGAGGGGTTGTCGGGTATGAAAAATAAACACTTAATATATAATAACTTTCAAACCATCACGAGCAATCAAATATAAAATATGGTCAGGTGTGCAGAGCCATTCAATAACATCCAATTTGTAATCATTGCAGATGCATCCGGAGGGCACAAAGATCCCAACAGGCGAATGCGTCTGTACCGCCCAAACCGGGCTACTATTGCACATTGCTGACAAGAAGAAAGCCGACTGCGGCGGCCTTGGTGAGGAACCTGAAATAATACTGCCCTAACAAACACATCCACACACACATGCTGGAACTGGGATACTTTTAAGAGTATTGTCCCTCAATATTTACCATTGCAACTGAAACTGCATAAACATTGACGCAATGAATGCTAACATACAGAGGAGGAATGTCAGGACGATGAGCCAGAAGACGACCATCGCGACGCGTTTCCAGAAAGCAGCGGCAATGAAAGAGCAAGTGGTCGACGATAGAACACGTTTCCCGTCAAGGTATTTGCACCCTGAGCTAAATAACATCTCTCCAATGGCTATTGTTGGGCATCAGACTGCGCTGATGGTCACCATTTCCTCATGGAGTGTTATTTGGCAAATTCAATACGACGAAGCCTGACATTTTACACACAACTCACAAGATGACAGCAGCATAATAAATAACCACTAGTGGGGTGGGTGGACTAGAAAACAGAACGCACCAAGGTAATCGGTTTCCACACGAGGCAGTTGCAGAATGGAACAATTCCATCTTTTGCCATGAAGAACACGGCTGGGCTCCCCACCTGTTTCTGTCGCATTGCCATCTGTCCCATGGCTCGAACCGGACTCGGCGGTTACAATGCCAGCTGCCACCATTGGCAGGAGATTATTTTTGTTCAGACGCTCAGCGATGAGTCGTGTGGCCACATGACACAAAAAGGGACGTCTCCACCGTGCACCCCAGTAGTGTTGCATGTGTACACACGACACACTGCATATGCCCAGACCTGCCTAAATGTATGGTGACCATTTTTGGTAGTTTAGATTTTACACATTTTGACCATAATTTGACTGGTTAAGATAAAGGCTCCAATTTATCACCGTTTTTACACAATCGTGTATTTTTATTCTACAAACGTGACGAGGCATTTTCATTGCAAAAAAATGCAGGATATTTTTTTCTCATGCTCTTGCAGACAGAGAATGACACAATTGTCGTCAATTCGTGAACGCAATACGTGCAGCAACTGCACTGGCTGCTTTGCTGTAATGGGCAACATTTTTTGGCAACGTGCAGAAAGTGAATACGCGTCAACCAAACATTTCCATTTTACTGTATTTAAAAAAAAAACCCAAAACGAGTAGTGACTGTGTTTTAACGAGTACGCGTGAATATGAGCTTTTGGGAAACATCACCTTGACTCGGAGCAGGTCATGCTCATTACACAGTAGTTAACTTAAGAGATGCAGATATTTTTAAATTAAGTCACGACATGAGTGCACACCGGGGCCCATTCTCGTGCACACTGTGACCTGGCCACGTCCTCCTTCACGCACGCCGAGAGGGCCGATCGAGCGGCAACGGCACGGGCGGCGTCGAGCGCCGATGGCTCGCGACCGCGTGCAGGGTCCTGGGCAGGAGTCTGGACGGCAGTGGCCGCCGCACCCTGGCGCTCGCCCCGCTGCACCGTGCACACTACGCGTATATACAATTATACTTTACGCAAACCATGGTATTGATGCAACATAATGACATTAGTGACAATAATAATATAAAACGGAGATTATATGATATAAAACTTTAAAAATGTCAAACCCGTCATTACCCCATACGAGGTATGCTCCTGCAGGTGCCATGCAAATTGGATCCAGGTGATCGGGCTGCCCAGAATCGTTCGTTAAGAGGTTGAAGCGCATAAACTGTACACGTACGCGCTTATACGGGTTACTATATATAATCTCACACACATATATATAGTATGTATAACATGTAGGCTGTAGTATATGGTGTTGGGAAATTACTCTTGATGTTTACCATTAACTTTGCGGTCTCGTACACCGGTAGCCACATAGTTTTGCATCTCTGTTCTATCCAAAAATCAGTTCACGTCCACATTCACGTATTCTGCCAAATGAGTCTACCGAGTGCAGACACGAACTATACACACCAAGCCAACTTGTTCCTTTGGGGTGACCTTGAAGATGCAACGCCAAGTGAACTCGATTGTTTTTCTCCCAACACCAAAACCATCTCCCATATTTAAAGACTCGGAGTTTTGCGACATCATCACGAGGGACTGGCAGCGTCGCGTAAATACTTTCAGCTGTCATCAAATATTCAAACACAAGAGATAGAACTCGCGCAAGAAGCATGACTAATTCACTTTTACTCTCATTGGACATCAGAATATAGTTATTGAAAACAGTACTGGACTTCTAACCGGGGACTATTTCACGAGAGAGACCGCCCCAACACCTCCTCCCAGGCAGCAGATCATCATCACGGCAACATGCGACAGTGACCCACCACTCCCTCCTTCCCCCACTCTGCCCCCACAGTGCCACTGGGCTGGCTCCATGGTACCGCGTGTCTTCTGAGTCCATGTAACGAGGCTCCATGAGTCTAAAAACCTTCATTCTCCACGCACGTTTCTGAATCCTTCAATGTACTGGCTTTAAAAAAGATTGTATATAAACCATAAATAAATTTGTAATGTCACGAGTTTGTCGTGCTAACATGACATCGTTAGTGGTCACGGTCACAGAGAGGAATGTACTGCTGTGTAAGAGCGACGGATCCATTGCAGACATCAAGTTCTGCAAAACACCATGCGTGAGTAGCATTCTACTACCACAGTTCAATTTAAATGTTCCCAGTGCAACGTGCTTCCAGCCCAACTTAAAGACAATAAAGTGGTTTCTATGCTTTGTGATTTTGGCTCCTATCCATGCGACAAAAGCACTCATTTACCTGCATCACAGCAGCACAGATCTACTGATATACCTCCACGGCTCCCCAGCCCATCCGTTCACCATGTATTCCCCTGCTTAAACGCTGCTCTCCAGCCTGGGCCCTCCGGCCGCCCCCGGTGGTCCTGTGCCGCTCCCTGCAGGTCCGGACGATTTGCTCCAGCAACCCGCGGCCACGATGCTCATGCTCCGTGCCGTCACGCGCTCCTTCTGTTCTCGCTCCGGCTCGCTCTGGCTCAGCGCGCGTTCGGGTGGCGCCTTCCCAGCCCCCGGGATTGCCGGCACTCCCGGCACCACGGGTCCGGCGACCCCGCCAACCCCAGCGGCCTGGTGAACAGATACGGCTCGGCGCAGGTGACCACGCTTTCTAAAGGCGTCGCACTGGCCTGGCAACCCGAAGCTGCCCTTGCGCAGCACCATGCGCGCGTTGCTCTTGGCTGGCCGCGAGCGGTGGTGGTATTCCAGCTGTGCCAGGTGCGCTGCATATCCGTCGGCGAGGAACTGTGGGTACACACACCGCGAGCAGGGACAGCTCAACGCAAGTCATGGGGAATGCTGGCATGACGCTGAGAAGCCCACGAAGAGCATGCTTGAGACAGCAGGTTCAGAGCGCAGAGCCAAGTTTATTTCGCTTCACTGGGGGAGAACTCAAGAAAAAGACATCATCTGTTTCATAAGTCACCTGGGTCAGCAACATGACAAAACAAATAACATAAAAACATTGTGTTACAATGAAACAAATAGAAATCAGAGCAAAATTAACCAAAGTAAAATCAGATAAAAAGATAACTATGTTAAAGAAATTCAAACAGTGGAAAGACACGCATTGATATTACATTAACTTCATTATCCTGCAATGAAATGGGTTCAGATAAATTACTTTAAAAACCTTTCATTGTAAAGGTGTCTGTCATAGAAACATGAACACTTGTCAGGGTGGTGGGAACGTACCTGACATAGGTGCTGGTATTTCTTGGTGGGGCGGCCCACAATGTAGATCTGGTTTGGGGCCAGGTTCAGAGCGCTGTACACGGCAATGTCCTTGGTTGATCCATAGGCAGCGTGCACACGCACATGCTTCTGCAAACGCGAGCACACAAAGAGCACAGACTGTACCCACACAAGCACTCTCCGGCATCTCACATCATCTTGGTTCGTAGGGTTTCTGCCGCCGTGCAGCGCGAATTCAATTGCCGCACCGCACTGCGGCCCGACCCGTGTGTGTGGCTGGTGTGAGCGTGATTGACCCGTGTCCCATGCTCGACGTGCACCTCCATCATGAGCGATCGCAGGAAGTTGGCCTTGTGCCTTAGAGGGTCGTGCACCAGGCCATCGCAGAACGACACCAGTCCGTGTGGGAAGTTGTGCTGTGCCAACCAGGCCACAACGCGCTGCTTTTGCATGTCAGGCCGGCCGGTCACATAAACTATGAGGTAGCCCAGGTCTTGCCAGTGCCTAAACGAACCACAGCACATATCAACGACACAGTGGACAAGAAAAACCGTTGCACCCCAGTGCTTTAACTTGCAAATTTTCCTAACTGCTTATAATCCGAGTTCATTATTGGGTTTGACTGTGTATTGCGCATTGCTTCTCTTAAAACTCGCACTACGCACCACTGCGGGCAACTTCAGGAGTTGAACCTTGGCACTGCCCGGCATCAAAGTGCGAACAGCAGACTGTACTCGGGTCAGGATTCACCTTGATTGAACAATTCTAACTCTTGTTGCACTAGATTACTCATTTGATTTGGAGCTTTCGTGACTGCAGGAATTACTCCTTGGTTCTTTCGGTAAAGTCACGTCGAAAGAAAATAAATGAAACAATAGAATACGACGTTTCGATTGCAACACAAGCAGTCGTCATCAGGTAGAACTACATTTGAGAGAGAGACAAACACAGACACGGAGACACACAGACAGACACACAAGCAGAGAGAGACAACACAGAGACACAGAGAGATACACACAACATAGACACAGAGACCCAATGCCTCTGTGTCGTGGCCTTAAATAGGGAGAGAGGGGCGCTGTGGGGCAGAGAGAGAAGTGGGTCTGCTGGAGCAGAGAAATTAGCATGTCAATGAGAGAGCTGTGTGGAAATCCACCCGCGGCAGCAGGGGGAGAGAGAAAGACCCAGCAAGTCTGGTACATTTTTTAGAGAGAGTTGTGTGGAAATCCCCCCCCCCCGCTCTCTCTATGTAAGGCCACGACACAGAGGCATTGGGTCTCTGTGTCTATGTTGTGTCTCTTTCTGTGTCTCTGTTGTGTTGTCTCTCTCTGCTTGTGTGTCTGTGTGTCTCCGTGTCTGTGTTTGTCTCTCTCTGCTTGTCTGTCTGTGTGTCTCCGTGTCTGTGTTTGTCTCTCTCTGCTTGTGTGTCTGTGTGTCTCCGTGTCTGTGTTTGTCTCTCTCTCAAATGTAGTTCTACCTGATGACGACTGCTTGTGTTGCAATCGAAACGTCGTATTATATTGTTTCATTTATTTTCTTTCGACGTGACTTTACCGAAAGAACCAAAGAGTATATTACTAATCTGCAGCACACAATGGGTACATATATAGCTGAAAACAAACAACGCCTTTCCATCATAACTGCGAGCTGTCATGGTGTAAGTGTGGTGGTTGGTGGCCAGAACAATCCATTACTGCAAGCGACGCTTCGCACTTGCTAACAACCCGTCACAAACTGCTGAGCAATCTAGATTTGAAGCTTTCGTGACTGCAAGGATTGATATTTTTAGTTTTTTTCGGTAAAGTCACGTAGGTAAGAGTTACTTGATACAGCAATCGTGCTGTGACGGTTCCACCTGAAGACGGAAGCTTGTGTTGCCTCCGAAACATCCTGATTTTTATTTTATTTTTTATTTTACTTTTATTAATTAGAATTTTTTACCTACGTGACTTTACCGAAAAAAACCTAAGAATATGCTGAGCAATCTGCCCGACTCGTTGCTTTGACAAACTGAGAACTACCTCCATCCAAGGCTGATCAACACGGCGATAAGATACACCACGAAGGCAAGAGCTTGGGTCAATGCAGTCAAATAATTCACAACGAATTGCAGTATCGCACCATTGAGAAACTGTGAAAGTGTCTGCTTCGGTCGTCGGGTACGTAGCGCAACATGCCAACTACTACAACAACAGTTGTCATTTGCCAACGAGTGCCGGGAATGCCACTACGGTGCTCATTCCAGGCTAGATGCACATTGAGGCCACGTGAAGTGTGGAAGGCCCACTACGGACAGGATGTCACGGGACAGAGACTCAGTGCCATTGTTTAACTAAGATGACTGACAGATGCACCACCTGTGCCCCCTACTGTTGTAGCTGCCCCGCGCTCCACTCGTTATTGTGAGGATCGTTCCTCTGCCCTCCGTTGTTACTGGAGAGTGAATGCCTCCAACCGTCCAGTAGCAAACTTCACGAGCCTCTTCTATAGAAGTCGATCATGACACCACTGGTACCGGTCATCGGCAAGTGCACTCAGCTCCACATCCTCCTGTACCGCATCAGTCCATCTCTCCTCTAACCTATGCCGTACTCATTTAGACCCCTCTATCCGAGTTTGCCTACTGGGTCTCTCTATATTCACAAATACAATACGGATGCCGGTTATGTCACCCAACGCCCACGCCGAAAAAGCAACTGATACCTGACAACGTCGACGGCGCCGGCGCGCACTTTGGGGTCGCTGCCCATGATGGAGACGCTGGCCGCAAAGGAGCCATCGATGCTGAACACCACGCACTCCGTGCCACGTGGCAGCACTGTCAGGTAGCAGTCAGCAAAGGTGTGGTCTCCCCTGAGAAGCACAAATGCACACCGAACCAAGACCACCACCACGGCCATGAGACAAAACTGCGCTCCACAGTAATCACCAGGCAGCTGCATGGATGAAACCAAGGTCAAATGTGAAAGTGATTTCCTGCTCAAATGATGAGGTCGAGACACATGGAAGTGGTGGGAAAGACAATGCTCAACCACCATTGTCTCCCCAATGTTGGTGGTTATTGTGTAGTTTAGCATGAACTGACCTCAGAGGCCAGGTGGCTCAGCAGTAAAGCAAGTGTCTGGCCACGCTGGTGGCAAGTGTACCAACCACCAGGAGATCTGGTCACCCCAACGCGTGTAATAGATACAAACATGCATTCTTACCTAACGACCATCTTGACCGGGTACATGCCGATTCCTAATCGCCTCGATTCTGGAATCAAATAATTTATCCGGCCGCTGCTGTTCGTCACCTCCGTGTCAAAATGCACCCACTCGCCAGCGGGCGGCTGAGTCATTATGTGAACATCAACCTACCCAGGAAACACAAGGGTCAACCAGAACGTGGATGATGCTAAGTCAGCACACAGCAGTCAAACCCAACAACGGATCAAATTAATAATTCGTATGTTCGGTATTCGCGCCATTCTTACAGTGAAAGGCTATGGCGTACGAAGGCACTGCTGCATTTCATCGACGGGTAGAGGCTGCAGCGGTTTTACAGGAGAGAGTGATGTTGCAATGTAGCTTTACCAAATAAAGTAATTTGTTAGAAAACTTATTTTTTTTTACTCTGATGTCGGAACACAATTGCCTATTCTTTTAGAATGACGTCACAGGATATGTAACATCCACTGTGAAGCAGACGGCTCTGCAATAAGCTCTGCAAAACGACTGGAGACTTAAGGAACACACATTCCACTGCGCACAAGTGTAAGGCAGTGTGCGCCAGTGTGCTGTGCTAGGCAGCAGCGCCCACACTCACCTTCTCTCCGGTGAGCGTCACCATATCAAGTGGGCCGTACATGAACCGTCCAGCCAGGAGCTGCGGACCGTCCTCCACCACCAGCACGTCGCTCGCTCGGTGATTCGCCGTCACATTCTACACGACAACATTACGATTAATACATGGCCTACATCCAGGTGACAGCCTAGTGCATGAACATAAAGGAATCGAAATGCTTCGTCCACGCGCATTACCTGCGAGAACAGGGTTCAGAAACGCCGCGGTCGCGAACGAAAAGTGCAACTGAAAAGTGCACAAACAAATATGGAGAGACGCATGCTTTGATTTACACTTGCAGATAGAGGAACACGTGGATTAGAGAACACACATGGGATAATGACATCATCCAATTTGTAAAAAAAGTGAGTGGGGCTTTGGCAGGATGCATCCTGGCCAGAAGGGATGAAGGACGATGGTCAAGAATAATAACAGTGGCAGTCAAGGAATGGAATGCATTCGAGAGGACGTCCACCGAGAAAATGGAGCGATGAAATAAGTTCATGCTCAGGTCCTGGATGGATTATTGCATTGCAAGATTGTGAAAGGTGGTGGTGGTGGCTTGATGAAGCCATCATTCATCAATGGACCGATTGTGGCTGATGAACTGTTTTGGAAATACAGGCAGTCCCCGAGATACGAACGTCACACTTACAAATATCGACACTTATGAATGAACCACCATAAGATCTTATTATGTTTAAAAATCCAGCTTGTGAACGTTCGATTTTACTCATGAACCGAACCGCAAAACTATTTTGTCCGGCAGAACGATCCTCCGCAAGAGGGAATGAGTCCGAGCATCCCGCGTGATGCACACACCCCCCCTTCTGACAAGCAATCCAGCATTAGGACTCTTGAGTTAAAATAAAACTAATTTTATGATTACAAGTTACTTTATTTTATGTTTAATTTTATTTACTATACCGTATTTATTACAGTATTATACGAACGTACAATATTTCTTCATATTTATGAATTTAACAATGCTTCCCTTTTTGTTGAACCGTAATACATTTTAAGACACTGACTTTATGTAAAATTAATTATTGGGTTCTGAGATATAAGCAAATCGACTTACGAACGGATCTCAGGAACGTAACCCGTTCGAAAGTCGAGGACTGCCTGTAGTACCAAGGTAAAAAAAAACCCATGAAGATTAGTCAAGGATGCATCTCACACCAACATCTGTACAATAATTATGAATAATTAAATGCATATTTAAAGTGTTCTCTCGTGTAATTTCATGCAATTCACATTTCCACGCAGATGTCTGTCAGCGTGCATGTCTGCGTGCGTGTCTGCGTGCATGGACGTGCAATTGCGTACCCGCAGCTTTACGTGCGTGCGTCGACGGAGCCACTTCTCTCTTGGTTGACTCGGACTGAAGGCTGACGTCTCTCGCCCATCCTGCTCCAGGACACCCCCGCTCTCATGGCGCACGATCTTCGGACGCCCGTGAGTGCCCGCACACACAAACACATGCCGCACGCACACCGCCAGCACGCAACCACGCACACAGGGGCTCCAGGTCATGCGGCAGCAAATGAGCACAATCACTGTGCCTTGTGCCAGGGATTGGGGTTAGGGTTATGGCCACGTGCCATTCTTGGTTGACGTCTAACTTTGGATCATGGAAAAAAAGCCTTGAATCCTTCACTAGCTGGCGCAGAGCACAAGCCCAAAGGCCCAAAGGTTCAAATCATCAGGCATCCAGCAACAAACAGCATATTCGTTGTTGTAATCAATAAGTCGACACGTTTCATGAATTTTCCAAGATTATTATGAGAGTTTGGGCAACGAGACGATGATGGGAAGGAGTTCCAAAGTGGAGCTATGAAGATGGGCTGCTGTTCGAATACCTGTGGTTGGTGTTGACAAAGCAGTCCCCGCCCCCTACGGGTCCCAGCTGCTCAAATGGATGGGCAAGGAATCCTACGGCGTCCGGCTTGCAAGCTCTTCGTGGACATTTATATACACCCGGTATACCATGCACCAGGTATACCGTGCACATAGGTAAAGGTGCAGTGCTGAAACTGCTTGCTCACACTACTTCTGGCAAAAGGGCCTCCCCACGAAAGGAAACTCTCGGGCTTATTTGGTCTACTCTTCCTCGTTGACCAGATGTGATGGGCGAGGTGGGAATACCCACATTTTACCCCACCACGCGCGACCTGCCCATCGACTGTGATTAACCTTTGTATGCGGCTGAATGGGAATTTGAAAAAACTTGCATAATTGTGGCAACTGCTCCGCCAGCAGATGGAATTGAACCGCAATTTCTGGCACGCAAGTCCAGTGTGCCGGCCTGGTAGCTCGCATTACACTAAAGAAATACAAAAGTTAACACGTCAGTGAAACTGAATGGCCAAGTGGTTTACGCCATTATCTGGCAAGAGGCATGATATTAGCTGGAATAGAGGGGAATGGAGGGGAAGGGAGCAGAGCAGAAGTGACGAGTGGGGAGGGGAGGAGAGGGGTAAGGAGGGGAAAGCAAGGGAGCCAAGGAGAGGGCAGTAGAGGGGAGGGGAGTAGAGGAAATGGGATGAGAGGGGAGGTTACCTGCCGTAGGATGAACGCCACGACGTCTGTGGACTCCCAGTAGCTGGCGTGGAACAGATGTGGCAGGGCCATGGTGGGAAAGGCGGTGAGCGCGTCAGGACAGTAGAGGGCGAAGTCAAGGCGCTTGGTGCCCCACCAGCGCGCCGTGACTGCAACCGCACACACACGCGATACACATGCGTGTATACACACGTGTATACACGAGTGTGTATGCAACACAGCCGCTATTCGTCATTACGTGGCTGTGAAGTCGTCAGCAGGCAAGGCGCACTTTGAGGGTGTCATGTGAAGTGTGGAATTCTCACTGGGAGGTCATGGAACAAACCCAGGTGTTACGAGTCAACGCACGCATAGAAATAAAGCTCCCCATATAGCCTTAAACAGGCTGTTAGGGCAGCGCTATTAGCGAGCACCTACGAAGGCCGGCACGGCACGCAAAGGGGGTGGGTGGCCAATACCACGTCTGGCCGCCTTTGCCTACCCAGTGGTGATGTTTACACACCACACCAGGTATTCATTTGAGGTTGAGTCGACCTAGGGGAGGCCCAGGACCAGTAAAGATAATCGTCACCGTTGTTGGTCGTAAGCGGGAATCGGTCTTAGGTTGCCGGGCTCATAGCGCAAGGCACTAAATGCTGCACTACCAAACGACACACATTCACACACATTGAGACGAGACAGGGGATGAGCCACACACTGGAACAGACGCACACACGGGGATGAGCTGCACGGGGGGAGGAGGCTGCTGTGGTGCTGTGCGGTGGCGCCACATCTCGTGGTGCGAGCCCATGCTCACCATTGGCGATATTGCACGCAGTGACGCTGTCTGCCAGACCCGACACTTGGCTGGCGATGCTGACCTCGCTCCCACGCCTCGCGCACACGCGGATGCTACCGCTCCCGCCGGAACCACCGTGCGACGCCACTGCCCCTGCTTCGCCAAACACCGGCGCGTTGCACTGGATTGTGTCAACTTCAAGACATCACACGCGCACACGCACAGGCATAGAGAGGTTATCGCACGCGACGACACGGCCAACTACGGCACCGACCGCACAGAGCATCGTGGTCACAGCACACGTATTGATGTGAAACATGCGACGTATCGGTCGAGGAAGCGCATCATGCACACCGCACCACGAACAAAATCACTCCATGGCCTACAAGGGCCTTTGGCCATGCCGGAACATTGGTCCCCATCAGAAACCCGTGTTAATGCACGGCTATGGTGGGGACAGCCACTCTTCAGCAGTCAAGGGGAGGCTGCACGTGCTGCCGCAATATGTGCGAGGTCACCATCTCCTGACTTGCCATAGCATGGTGGGACAGCGAATGGATTAAATCCATCTGTACAGGGATTGAGCGTTACCCCCTCCTTGCATTCGTGGGTTTTCTCCGGTTCCCTATCACATGTATAAACACTCATTCATCGGTGGAGTTGGCCAAACATCTCAATATAGGAACAGAGAGCTTGGGTTATTGTTGGTCACCTTGGTTCTAGCTGCCTCCGCGCTTGTCCCACGCCTCTGAGCAAATAATTTGCGCGTGATAAATTCTGCAGCATTTTGAGATGCATTCATGATGTTAAATAAAAAAAAAATTATATTTCCGTGCTCTCACCTCCTCCTCAGTGTTCGCCTCTCGTCTCCAAAGTCTCACATTTGCGGACATCTTACTCTGCTTCTGAATGGGCCCGACAAGGGCCTTCTCTGGGGCTCTCCTCTCATGCCGGGTCCTTGACTGTCACCTTCTCCATCCATCTCTGTTCTCTGCCCTTCTCTTCAATTCCACAAGCACTCCTTCCTTCAGCTCCTGCAGCATCATAAACCTCGGCCATTTTTTCACTCTTGTCCCTTCCATTTTTCCTTCTACGATGTCCTAAATCAAATTGCAGGGGGAGTAAAAGCTAAAGTCTTACACCAAAGGAAACATGAGTGGATAGTCCGCAAATTACGGGAAGATTGACGCCGATGTATTTGGCTCGTGCGGACACAAACTCAGAGGCACACGGACAGATGAACAGACAAGTGCACCGACATGCAGCAGCCATGCAAAGATGTGCAGTTACATGGCAATGACGCGAGCTACGAAGAAGCAAGTGGGCACCGAGTGGCAGGCAGACAGGCACACACGTGTGCACGGAGGCTTGCGGGAAGGCAGAGGAAGCAATCTGCAGGCAAGCGCATGAATAGAGATGGGCGTGCATGTATGGGGGCGTGCGGGAGAGGGCGTTACAGGCGAGGTCGGGCCAGCTAGGCACGGGGAGGCAGACCACTGCCTCCTGGGGGCGGAAAGCGGCGAACGCGCTCTCCACGAAGAGAGATGAATTCGACTGCAGCGTGTCGGCTAGAGACGCACACGGGTTGGGACACACACAGGGATGCACAATGGGTGGGACACGCACAGGGGGTGGGACACACACACGGCGGGAACAAATACAGGGAAGCATGGGAATGAGACACAGGGGGGAACACATGGAGACACACACACACAGGGGACACAGACACACACGGGAACAAACAGTGAGTACAGAAATATCATGCCAAGTTTGGACATGCTCAAACAAATGAGCGGAACAGAAAACACCGGAAGGCACACAGGAAACGTGAAACACATCGCTCGGTGAAATCTTGGTGGTGAATTCATGACATCTGACAAGAGTCAAGAGGGTTAATTGTGAGAGCAGAGTGACGAGGATGAGTCGGTGCTCCCGGAGAGAGCAGTGGGAGTCGCGGTTTAGGAGGTTGTTGCTGATGGTTTAATCAAGATGGTGCTAGAGCTGATTCCTGAGCACAGACTGTGGTGATACAGAGTAGGCACACGACAGAGACACACAACATAGATACAGAACTGAGAGAGACGGACACACGACAGAGACACAAACGAAAGATGAAGACACGTAACAGAGAGAGACACACAACACAAGAAGTTACCGAGTGTGGCGGTCTTGCCATCGCCTAGCGGGAAGCGCTGGTAGCGCGCCACGGCAAACGGGGCAATACGGTGAAAGCGCCGCTCCAGGAGGGGCTCAAGGCGGCACGCGGACGGATCGGCGGGGTGAAACAGGTTGAACACCTGCTGGCACGCCGGCCTCAGCGCAGACACTGCGGTGGCACAAACGCCTCGCATCAGGCCGAGACAGTGGGGAAAGGCTGCCGCAAGCAAGGGCCCCTCATGGCCGTGCCAGCTCTGGAGGGGAGGGTGGATAGCTTGGACACTAGCAGGTCCCTTCCGTTTAAATTGGTTGTCAAGACCACACCGTCATCGCGGCCAGAGCTGTAGATGCCACCACCGCACCTTCTCACTACCAACACTCTGACCTCCGTCAGATCCCGCAGTAGCTGCACAGTTTACACACAGCAACTTCCAAGATCTGCTCTGACGGTCTCCCATCAGACGTCTGCCCTTAGGCGTCCATAGAAACATATCTATTCACACAGAGAGCCATAGACTCACACAGAGAGCCATAGACTCACACAGAAACCCATAGATCTGCCCTAACAATATCCCACACATGATACATTCCCACCACTGCTACGCATCTCGGCGATTGGCCCTCCCCATCCTGCACACACACGTCCCACCCATGCAATCATTAATCTTGTAGTCTAACACACTCATTAGGAACGATGTCAACAGCTGCGAATCGAGAAGTTATCTTATTGTTGTACCTTGGCGACCAGTGTTTCACATCACGAGGCAGTCTCTGCACTACTGCCAAGCTAAGGACCGACCGCATCAGGCGCGCCACATCGTTACCATCGAGGCCTGGCAGCACGGTGCGGCGCAGCGCCAGCACCAGGCCCAGGGGGGAGCCAAACGTAAAGAAGTCAGAAACGTCAAAGTCGAGTTTGCTCGCGTGTCCGTCCAGCATGGTGGAGCTGGAGGATCGGCGCGACACCGCGTCGCTCCCGCTGCCGCGCAGCAGCACACTCGCCTGCAGGCTGTGACGCACGCGCACACAGGCACACGCACACGCACACAGGCACACATGCACGCACACAGGCACACGCACAGGCACACGCACGCATACAGGCACACGCACGCATACACACACAGGCACACGCACGCATACAGGCACACGGACACGTGCATGCACACACACACACACAGGCATGCAACTCAAGAGACCAGGATGTATCATATGCAAGAATGATCTGGGTCACCAAAATGACAAAATCAAAAACGTTAAATAAAGTGCAGCAATGATGCCATAAAAATCAATACCAAAACAAACATAAATATGAATAATAACAATCACGTCACAGAAGATATCGATATTGAGCAAAATAAATGTTATTTTATGGAAGTCGGCTTGAACAAATTACCATCAAGCAACTACATGAACAAACAAAAGACGAAAATCCCCCATATAGCCTTAACAGACTGTTGGGGCAAGTGATGTTGGCGAGCACCTATGAAGGCCGGCACGGCACATGAGGGGGTGGGTGGCCAATACCACGTCTGGCCGCCTTAGTCTACCCAGTGGTGATGTTTACACACCACGCCAGGTACTCATTTGAGGTTGAGTCGACCAAGGGGAGGCCCAGAACCGTTAAAGATAATCGTCACTGTTGTTGGCCATGAGCAGGAATCGAATTCTCCAGGTTTGTAGCACAGCGCACAAACCACAACACTACCACTTCCCACAAGCGCAAACACACCAACACACACACGTGCACAAACACACGCAGCAGCTCCGCCTTCAGAGTCGTGGAGGGACACACGCCAAGTATCGTCTGATTATTTGATTCATATTCTCCACATTGATGCAAATTATTCTCTTCAATTTGCATGGAGCTTGATTCATCTTTGATATGAATCGTTCTCCATGTGTGTGGAGACCGCCTGGGCCTCTCTCTTCCCCCAGTGCCTTTATCCAAACTTCCACCTCGGTGACCCCGGTCAGCCAGGCGAACCCGGTGAACACGGAGACCCCAGTGACCTCTATAGGCCCAGTGACCTCTATAACCCCAGTGACCTCTATAACCCCAGTGACCTCTATAGGCCCAGTGACCTCAGCGACTCCTATGAGCCAGGTGAGCTCAATGAGGCCGTGAAACCCGGTAACACCGGAGACCCCGATGAGCCCAGGGAGCCCTACCTGGACAGGAAGGCGTGGTGCTGGCGGATAGTGTCCGGCTCGTAGGTGGAGGAGTCGCTGCGCTTGCGGGGCAGTGCGTGTTTTGGGCTGTCCAGGCTGCTGTGCGGGATGTCGATGTTGCTCTTGCTCAGGTGACGGCTGCAGCCCAGGCCCAGCCCGGCTCCCTGGCCCCCACCACCCCCCCCGGGGCGTGCCCCGGGCCCCCCACTGCCCCCCCCTCCCACGCTGTTTACGACGATCCCAGGGGACAGGAGATCCGTGTCCTGCAACGCCATCGTGCAGGGTGTGCTGCAGGGTGTAGTGCAGGGTGTACTGCAGGGTGTACTGAAGGGTGTACTGCAGGGTGTAGTGCAGGGTGTACTGCAGGGTGTGCTGCAGGGTGTACTGCAGGGTGTAGTGCAGGGTGTACTGCAGGGTGTACTGCAGGGTGTAGTGCAGGGTGTAGTGCAGGGTGTACTGCAGGGTGTACTGCAGGGTGTAGTGCAGGCTGTGCTGCAGGGTGTGCTGCAGGGTGTACTGCAGGGTGTGCTGCAGGGTGTAGTGCAGGGTGTGCTGCAGGCTGTGCTGCAGGGTGTAGTGCAGGGTGTGCTGCAGGGTGTGCTGCAGGGTGTAGTGCAGGGTGTGCTGCAGGGTGTAGTGCAGGGTGTGCTGCAGGGTGTGCTGCAGGGTGTACTGCAGGGTGTAGTGCAGGGTGTGCTGCAGGGTGTACTGCAGGGTGTACTGCAGGGTGTACTGCAGGGTGTGCTGCAGGGTGTAGTGCAGGGTGTACTGCAGGGTGTGCTGCAGGGTGTACTGCAGGGTGTACTGCAGGGTGTGCTGCAGGGTGTGCTGCAGGGTGTACTGCAGGGTGTACTGCAGGGTGTACTGCAGGGTGCACTGCAGGGTGTGCTGCAGGGTGTAGTGCAGGGTGTACTGCAGGGTGTACTGCAGGGTGTAGTGCAGGGTGTGCTGCAGGGTGTGCTGCAGGGTGTGCTGCAGGGTGTGCTGCAGGGTGTGCTGCAGGGTGTGCTGCAGGGTGTGCTGCAGGGTGTAGTGCAGGGTGTGCTGCAGGGTGTGCTGCAGGGTGTGCTGCAGGGTGTGCTGCAGGGTGTGCTGCAGGGTGTACTGCAGGGTGTGCTGCAGGGTGTGCTGCAGGGTGTACTGCAGGGTGTGCTGCAGGGTGTGCTGCAGGGTGTAGTGCAGGGTGTGCTGCAGGGTGTGCTGCAGGGTGTGCTGCAGGGTGTACTGCAGGGTGTACTGCAGGGTGTACTGCAGGGTGTACTGCAGGGTGTGCTGCAGGGTGTGCTGCAGGGTGTACTGCAGGGTGTACTGCAAGGTGTACTGCAGGGTGTACTGCAGGGTGTGCTGCAGGCTGTGCTGCAGGGTGTAGTGCAGGGTGTACTGCAGGGTGTACTGCAGGGTGTGCTGCAGGGTGTGCTGCAGGGTGTACTGCAGGGTGTAGTGCAGGGTGTGCTGCAGGGTGTACTGCAGGGTGTACTGCAGGGTGTGCTGCAGGGTGTAGTGCAGGGTGTAGTGCAGGGTGTGCTGCAGGGTGTGCTGCAGGGTGTACTGCAGGGTGTGCTGCAGGGTGTGCTGCAGGGTGTGCCACACCTGCACGCTCATGAGGCTGCCTCGGCGGCTGCTGCTCTGGCTCTCCGAGACGGCCGTTGCGCTCGTGCACAGCGCGTCAAACCCCAGGACCCCGCCAACACAGTCGCCGATGAGACACACCTAGCGCACGCGCAGGCACGACACGCCAACCACAGGTATCCACACGCGTGACGGGGTGTGGGGCCACTAACTGGATTACACATCCTGAAAAAGTGTCCTGAGAGTCGGTGAGGTTGGCCTGGCTAAAGAAGCATAGAAATGTGAGAATTACACAAATTTTGAATTAGTAAATATTCCCATCACATGCATCAATGATGTCCTGCTGAATTGGGCATTTGAGCATTGGTGTTTTCAATCCTGAGCCAGTGATGGGAATTCCACGTTCCTAAAGAGGGGGTGAGTCCATCCATAAGACTACCACTGTTGTTGACTTCTCCAAAAAGCGGTGCTCATTTTATTGACGCCAGAGGAATGAATGATGGGCCGAATCAACCCCGAACCAGGATTTGAACTCGTAACCTTCAAGCCGCTCGCTCTGCCGTGGAGCTTCCTGGCCAGATACTGAAACTCGGCCTCTGATCCTAAATTCACGCAAAGCCCTTTGTCAATCCACTGCTGAACGAGAGCATCCTCACGTCGTGGACTATACTTCACGCTGGTCATGTGACAGCATTGAGCCAAGCACAAAAATGTAGTTTAATTGCACGGCCATTTCTCTCCGGGATGGCGTGACTGGCGTACGTGCGACCAGCATGCCCGCCGGTGCTCCACCCACCCCGCACTACCTACCCGCCCGTTGAAGGCATTGCCCTCAGGGCAGCGCAGGAAGTCGGCGTGGGCCTGGTTGGCACGCGCAATGACGGCCGCCACGGCCTCCTGGTACCCGGGGGACGACGTGGCCAGCAGAGGGAGCGCAGCCAGCGGCACGTGCTCCTGGCTGGAGGAGAGGCCGCCCTCCTCGCAGCTGTACGGGCTCAGGCTGCGCACGCCGCGCGGGGCACGGGTAGAGACACGACGCGCAGACAGAAAAACGGGATTGGCACGGCCTGGAAACGTAGCGGTGTTTGGCGAGGTTGGCGAACGTGGCCGTGGCTGCGGTCGGTGGGTGTGGCTGACCCCACGCACTTGGACACGAGGGAGAAGGCCTCGGCGCACACCGGCGGGCAGGGCACCAGTCGGATGGCGACGTGCCCCAGCGCGGCCGGGAAGTGCGCACGCATCACCGTGTCGAACACGGCCCAGAAGGTGTTGAGGTCGGCCTGCTTAGAGGACGGGTCCCCGCCGCCGCCGTCTAGGATGGTGCCGCCGTGAAGCAGCAGCACCAGCATATGCACCTTGCATTGCGGCGCCACGGCCGCCTGCACGCCGGTGTCGGTGTCCTGAGAGTGGTGGGGGTGGCACGGGGGGCAAGGTGATTGGGGGGGAGTGGGGAGCGGTGGAGGTGAAACGCACGAGGGATGAGGAGGTGAGGGTGAGATGCTGAGGAGGGGTTGAGGTGAGGTTGAAGTACATGATGGGTGTGATGTGCGAGTGGACGCTAGGGTGGCAAGATGTTAACTACCTCGCCTGGTATACAGGTCATGGGTTCAATCCCGACCCTGAAGCCTGTATATTTGGAGTTTGCATGTTCTCCCCATGGTCGCGTCCTCTGGTTTTTACATCCACATTTAGAAACATGCATTTAGAGCATTTGGCTGCTATACATTTCCACATGATAAACCACTTCGTTGTGGCCAGGTCACTTCTGAAAAAGACCAGCGATATCGCTGAGAGGGCCTTACCTGGTAAAATGAAAAATTGTTTAGTTTTTTTAATTTAGTTTAGGGTGTGGAACGTGAGGTGGATGTAGTGGCTGGTGAGGTGGCTGCATGTGGGTGTGGTGTGTATGATGTGTGCTGTGGGGTGTGTGGTATGAGTGTCGGGCGGAACGGGCGGTGTGGTGAGCGTGGCACGTGGTGGTGGGCGTGGTGTCAGGAGCAGCATCCTCACCTCTGGCTCCTCCTCCGCCCCCTCCATGCTGCTCTGCGTGCTGTACTCGGGCAGCTCCATGCCGCTTCCAAATAGAACCGTCCCTGTCGCACAGGAGTGGAGCATCGCTCACTCACCCATTTATTCTTACACAGTTGCTGAGCACGGGCCCAAAGGCTCAGAATTCCAACAATAAACAGCACTTTCAAAGTCGTTATAGGTGAGAGTGAACACACTTCTTGAATGAAACAAGTTCATGATAAGAGCTTGGGAAAAGAAAACGATGATCGGAGGAAATTCCAAAGTGGAGGTCTGAGAGGGAAGAGCAGAAAAGAAGTGAGATGACCTGCAGTGTGGCGAGTGATTAGGTGAATGGGTGAGTCAGTGATTTGTGTAAGTCGGTGGGAGGGTGCGTGTGACCTGCATTGTGGTGGTTGAACACAGTGTAGATAAGCCAAAATACTCAGTATGGTAGATTGAGTTCTCGACACAAGTGGAAGAATAAACGGAAGATATTTACGTGAACATCAGCCCCTGTAGTAGCGTTAGAAGAGAGCCGAGGAGGCAACTGACCACCGGAGTGCGTGTATGTGACTGGAGTGAGTCATGTAAACGGAACCGAGAAATGCATTTTTGAATGCTGACACGGGGTGAGCGGCTGTGCTACCAGAGTCCTGATCGCGCTGCACGGTGGCCTCCATCAAGTCCATGAGTTCCGTTGAGCTCCATTTGCTGATCTCGGCAGGAAGGAATGGCTCCCCTTCCCCCTCTACATCCGACAGGTCCTCTGCTCACACCGCACGAGACACAACAGCCCCCAGCATTGGCGTCACCACATCTCCCACACCCACACTGCCACGCGGCGCTAGACACTGCGGCTATCTCAATGAAGCGGCCGCTTATTGGAACGACGAGTACCTTGAGCATCGAAGAACTCCTCTTCTGAACTGTCTTCAGACTCCCGCGCGATACTCTGCATCCTCCACTCGCACAGGCTCTGGCTGGATGGACTGCCTGTCCATGCACGCACCGCCACACATCACAACCCTTACATTAAATCGAACCAGTGTCCAAAAAACCTGCAGGTGCACTCGGAGCGGACAAAATACCAGATGTGCTAACATGATATCTTCAAATGCACTTTCCTATGTCACCGCAGGACGGTGATGTAGCCGAGGGTAGTATGTTTGCCACTTGTTGCAGAGGTTCTTGGATTCAATCCGGTATGGCACCATGGTTAATAATGCAGGGTGCAGTGTGTCTGCTTCACAGTGAACGTTACAAATCCCGTGATGTCATTTGAAGAAAGATGGGCCATTGTGTGCCAGAATTACAGTCCAAATCTTCCCAAATTTGATGATACTGCAACTCACTGCTTTTGGGAAATTGGTAGCGATGGTCGACCCTAAATTGCGAAAACTTGGCAGGACCCTCCTGAAATAGTCTTCAGACCCAGTGAGATTTTGTTAAGTGTCAGAATAAAAAAAATAGTGCTATATTTTACAGTGCCAATCCTACAAATCACATCTCATAATGCTGTAGAATTTGTAAGGAGCAGTTTTTGCATGGAGACATGGGAAACCAGAGGCCATCAGGAAGGCAGCCAGAACAGATGCCAACAATTGTGCAAGCTCTGTGGTCCTATATTAGGGTGTTTAGCAAACTCCATTAGCGAATGAGCTTTTGTACATTCTGGAAAAAAACCCACATGAGCTATGACAGCCTCAGAGCACACAGGCAGGGAGGGAGTTGCACGAGTGTGATCCGCCAAACGTGAACGTAACGATCACTTGCGGTGCGCTTAAGGGCGCTGTGGATGACGCACCCCCTCGCTTTGAAGAGCGCGAGGAGCGGGACGAGGACGACCACTGCTTGGTGAGCGCTCGCTGGGTCCTCTTGTCAGATTCGCCAGGGGGGGTCAGGGCCCCCTCCTCGGTCCGCTCAGGGGGGGGGGACCCCGTGCTCGGCTTCTCCCCCTCCCCCTCGCTGTACTGCGCCATCTTCTGGGCCAGCGCCAGCTGCGTCTCGCGCTCCAGGCGGCGGATGTCGGCGATGGTGAGGCCGTACCACTCGTCCTGCCAGCACCACGCCTGGCGGTGAGCCCGCACCATCACCTTTCGCAGGCCTGTTCACCGCACAGAAACCGCAGTGTGACCGCACGGCAACCACAGTTCAACCGCCATTGGCGCAGCCCATCGTCCCTCTGGGCCCTCTGGGTTATATAAAAGGGAAACTACATTTTCTTTGGTTCTTTCGGTAAGGTCACGTAGGTATAAAATAAAATAAATTAAATCACGACGTTTCGGGCGCAACACAAGCGTCCGTCATCAGGTGGGACAACCACAGCAAGAAACACTTGATGAAGTGGGCAAAAGGGCTGCCGTGACAAGAGGCTATATAGGTAAGAGAGGGGGGAGGAGCGAGGGAGGAGAGATAGAGAGGGGGGTATGGGGTAGGGGAAGTGGAGCGCTGCTAGAGGGATTAGAAGACGAGCAAGGCAAAACGCTGGGGGGGGGGGGGAAGTGAGCGGGGCTGGGAGTGGGAGGCTGGTTGTCCCACTTCATCAATTATTTCTTGCTGTGGTTGTCCCACCTGATGACGGACGCTTGTGTTGCACCCGAAACGTCGTGATTTAATTGATTTTATACCTACGTGACTTTACCGAAAGAACCAAAGAGTATGGATCCCTGCAGTCACGAAAACTTCAAATCTAGATTGGAAACCACATTGTGAAGAAGTCAACGGTGGTTGTCGTATGGAGGGACTCGCCTCAGCACCGGCTCAGCAGGGCTGTGAACAGGAGATGAGCACCAATGTATGAGAACCGATGGCGGCGCACACAGTTGCAGCAGCTCAGTGTCTACCCGGTCGGTGCCTTGTATGGTTGTTTATGTTCGCGTTATGTCTTGTTTTGTGTTCATTTTGTCGGGCGAGTAACATCTTTAGCCGGCACGATCTCCTTAAGATCGGACTATGTTACGATCGGAGTGTTACAAGCGAGTTTCACCGTCTTCACAAGATTCCAGTGGAGTTAGCGAGGAGGCCCGGCTCTCCGTGGATTATCATCCCGGCAGGGAGGAGGCGAAGGCGGCGCAGAGAGAGAAGACGGAGGCGAGGCTGCAGGGCCGGTGCGCTAGCCAGGCTACGGAGGCAGCCACTCAAACCACCGCTACCCAGCCTATTTCTCACGAACGCCAGATCCATCGCGAACAAAATGGATGAATTGAGGCTACAGACTACAGCGAGCAACGTAGTGAAGGACAGCTGCATTCTGCTTTTCACAGAAACTTGGCTTCATTCATCCATCCCGGACTCTGCTATTGAGCTTGCAGGCTACACAGCACAGCGCCAGGACAGAACAGTAGACTCTGGTAAGAGTAGAGGAGGGGGGCTCTGTGTGTACGTGAATAAGAGCTGGTGTACTAACACTGTGACTGTAGACAGCCACTGCTCCCCAGATCTGGAGTATGTGACTGTTAAATGCAGGCCGATTTACCTCCCAAGAGAGTTTACTGTGGTCATGATAACTGCTGTTTACATCCCACCGGATGCTAATGCTAACTCAGCTATTGGACTTTTACATGGCAGCATTAGCATTCAGCAGAGCAAGTATCCTGACGCTGTGCTGATTATAGCAGGGGATTTCAACCATGCAGACTTAAAAGCAGCACTCCCTAAATTCCACCAGCATGTTAAGTGTGCTACTAGGGGAACTAAGATTCTGGACAAGGTCTACACCAACATCAAACTAGGCTACAGGGCTAGACCACTACCGCACGTGGGCCAGTCTGACCATTTGTCCCTGCTTTTGATCCCTGCATACGCCCCCATCAAGAAAACGGCTCCTACCATCACAAAAACTGTCGCCATCTGGCCTGAGGGTGCCACCCAGCAGCTGCAGGACTGCTTTGATAGGACCGACTGGGGGGTCTTCGAACATCAGGACCTGGAGGTGTTCACATATAGTGTATTGTGCTACATTAAAAACTGCATAGACACTGTCACTGTGGACAAACGCGTTCGGGTTTACCCCAACCAGAAGCCCTGGATGACCCGGGAGGTCCAGCAACTGCTGAAGGAGAGGAATATCGCCTTCAACTCCGGAGACAAAGCTCCCTACAGTACAGCCCGAGCTAACCTGAAGAGAGGCATCTGCAAGGCCAAAGCAGACTACAGGAGGAGGATTGAGGAACGCCTGGACAGTCACGACAGCAGGCAGGTGTGGCAGGGAGTCCAGCACCTCACCAACTACAGGGCCAACCGCGGAGCTGCTGATGGTGACAACGCTCTGGCAGAGGAGTTGAACCTCTTCTTCGCCCGCTTTGAGGTGACACCACAAGGGACAGCATCACCAAACCTCACGGTCCACAGCAGCTTAAACCTCACAGTGGAGGAGCATGAGGTGAGGCGCACGCTGCGGGCCGTCGACCCGAGGAAGGCTGCGGGACCTGATGGCGTCCCGGGACGTGTGCTGAGGGACTGTGCTGACGAGCTGGCTGGAGTCTTCACAAGGATTTTCAACCTGTCTCTGGAACAGTCCACCGTACCAACCTGCCTAAAGTCCTCCACCATAGTCCCGCTGCCCAAAAAAACCCACATTTGCAGCTACAACGACTACCGGCCAGTAGCACTCACGCCAGTGGTGATGAAGTGCTTTGAAAAACTGGTCCGGAGTCACATCATAGGAAGCTTGCCCCGAAACCTTGACCCCCACCAGTTTGCCTACAGAGCGAACCGATCCACGGAGGACGCCGTGGCCACAGCACTACATGCTGCACTGTCACACCTGGAGCAGCAGGGGAGCTATGTGCGGATGCTCTTCGTGGATTACAGTTCCGCGTTCAACACCATCCTCCCACACAAACTGGTGGAAAAACTGGGCGACCTGGGGATTCCACATTCCACCTGCATGTGGATATATAGTTTCCTCTCGGGCCGCAGACAGAGGGTCAGAGTGGGCCGTCATACATCCACAGCCCTGAGCCTCAGTACCGGCTCCCCCCAGGGCTGTGTACTGAGCCCCCTGCTCTACTCCCTCTACACACATGACTGTGCCGCCGTCCACCATAGCAACACCATTGTGAAGTTTGCTGATGACACCACAGTTGTGGGGCTCATCTCTGGGGGGGATGAGTCTGCCTACAGGGACGAGGTGGAGCGGCTGACAGCATACTGCAGGGGCAACAACCTGCTCCTTAACACCGCAAAGACCAAGAAGCTCATAATAGACTACAGGAGAAAGAAAACGGACACTCCACCACTAATCATCAGCGGGGACTGTGTGGAGAGGGTGGCAGACTTCTGCTTCCTGGGAGTCCACATTGGGGAGGGCCTGACCTGGAGCGCCAACAGCACTGAGCTTCTGAAAAAGGCCCAGCAGAGACTTTACTTCCTGAGAATTCTCAGGAATAATAACATCACACAGAAACTGCTGGTGTCCTTCTACCGAGCCTCCATCGAGAGCATTCTTACATACTGCATCTGTGTATGGTACACCAGCTGCACAGTGGCTCAGAGGAAAGCGCTCCAGAGGGTCATCAACACAGCCCAAAAGATCGCCGGCTGCCATCTCCCCACACTGGAAGAACTACACAGTTCACGTTGCATCAAAAAGCACAGAACATTATAAAGGACTCTTCTCACCCTGGACACTCACTGTTTGAGCTGTTGCCATCAGGCAGACGATTCAGATCAGTCAAAACAAGGACAAACAGATTCAAACAGAGCTTTTATCCTACAGCGATCACCACACTCAATAATGCTAATTAATTATTAAGTAATAGCGTTTACAATTGACTGTGAAATAGAGATGTGCAATGACAAAATGTAACCTTATGTGGGTATGTGGGTATACTTGGGCTGTTTTTATATATAGTATAAATTGATTATCTTTCATTTAATTTTATTTTTATTTTCTTGTTTTATTTAATTTAAATTTATGAATGAGGCCCTGACTGGTGAGCATTTTAAATTTCGTTGTACTGGTGACAATGACAATAAACGATCTATCTATCTATCTAAAAACGTATTTGAGCAGCAAATCACTCAGACGTGACTTGGAAGACATTCTGATTTCTATAACTCTCCAACATGAATCTGCGGTGCCTGCAGTGTGTCTACCCGACACGTGTCGTGTGTAACGGGGTAGTACCTGCAGCATGTAATTGTGTGGTGCCTGTATTGTGTTTGTGCAATGCCTGTGTTCCTGTGTTGTGCCTGTAGTTTGTTGCTGTACGATTCCTGTCGTCTTACCGTATGGTGGCTGTGCTGTATTTGCACGTGCCTGCAGCATGCTGCTAAAGGTGTTTTCATTTCTGGCTGATCGTGTATATTTTCCACTCCTCTCTAAACCCCTTACGTCAGTGCCCTCCTCCCTCCCGGGTCCCATGGCAACAGCGTGACCATGGCGATGGGGAAAGCTGCCTCGTGCTGTGCAGACGAAGCAGCGGCCACGCAAATGCCAGCACATGCCAACTCCTGGCACTCACCTCCACAGACTCCTCCCACTCTCCCTGTCCTCACTCGCAGATTCCTCCTACTCTCCTTCGCCCTCATTCGCCGACTCCTCCCACTTTAAATTTCGATTTAAAGCTTTCGTGACTGCAGGGATTCATCTTCTTGGTTCTTTCGGTAAAGTCACGTAGAAGGGAAGTAATAAAATAATAAAAATAAAACAATAAAATAATTCTCACGACGTTTCGGCCACAACGCAAGCAGCCGTCCTCAGGTGAAGAATGAAACACCACCAAGCTTGGAGCGTATATTTAAGTTGGGTTGGAGGAGGGAGGTGGGAAAAAGAGCGCCTTGACAAAATAATTTGCATATCAAGAGGAATTTTGCATATTTATGGGAAATGCGTAGGAGGTAGGCGGGGGGTTTCAAAGTCATATTATGCCCGTGCATTATGCAGGATTAGCAGCATCAAAGGGAGGGGATAGGGGTAGCATTAATGAAGGGAAGGAATGTTAATAGTATGTAGCTGCAGTAACTAAACAACCACATAAAAAACTAAAGTATAAACTACATAGTATCATCAGTATACTAAATATACTCTCCAATAAGCTGAGCTACTAACAGTAAGTAATACATTACAATTCTATGTCGCAATAAATATAATATGCTTCC